AGCAGCCTGATTTGAGCATTAATTGGACAGTGTACGTGTCATGCTTGTAATTGGACAGTACGCATCATTTTGCGCACGCTGTTGCGGTGCACTATGTTGAGTAAACTACTATGTTTTTCAGCATTCATAACGACGTTTAATCGTTCAGTGCTCAATCGATGGTTTGTTTGTTTATCGAATTTTGTAGTAGCTTTGATTAATCGGTAACAGGACATCATGTCGTCCAATTCAGTCTGTAATCATACTTGTGATTAACAAATCACTCGTATGATTACAGACCGAATTGGACTCCAGTCAGTCCTATTACCATTGTTAATCCAAGGAATCTTCTATGTGGGACTTATAATTTAATTATCAGTTGAAACAAAAATCATTATTTACATCTAATACCTCATTCACAGCAAAGCTAAAACACATTTGAAAGTTGTATAGCTAAACATAGTTTAAAATAAATTCTTTATAGAAGTCATTACTTGTAAACTTCAAATTAAGCACAGTGAAAGCACATGATAGGGCTCAGTTGAATCCAATGTAAAAAGGAGTCTTTTTCATCTCCTTTTGGGGATTTTCATTTTGTTAAACCTGGTTTAATTAAACATGTTTTGTTACCGTGAATGGTGCGTAAGTTATATGGTATAAAACAGACCTTTATCTGAGCAAAGTTTAGAGCAAGTGTGAGCATACAACTGCTCAGAACGTCTGCTTTCCACATATTCCATTGCATCCTCTTCACTTCCAGAATAAGGTAATGCACTAGTCTTGTTGAAAGACCACTTTTCTTGTATTCCCAAGTCATTAAGCTCTTCCTCCAGTTCCTTCTTCCAGTAGCTTTTAGCAGCGAACTTAGCTGTCAGTTCACCAGTGATCATCACTCCTAACATTATAAAAAATAAGACACGTTACACACTGATAACAAGCTGATAACCAAGCTTGGCATACATTCTCAACACATGAAATGGAATGTGTCGACATGTATTAGATGGCAGGCCACTAGATTTTTGTGGACAACAGGAAACTTTCTGTAGATAACTCATATTATATAATGGGCCACCAGTCCCTTTGGTGGCCATCTCAGAACTGTTTAACTTTTTACCAATCTTCTCCTCTGAAGTGAATGCCAACAGCCCCATTACAGCCATCCCCCATCCCTCCCCCTGCAAAAGAGAAGACCTTACCGGTAGAAGAACTCTCAGGGTCATCCTTTTCATCATCTTCAGAGTCATCTTTGTCAACTATGTATTATAATAGAAAGGAAACGTCAAAGGCTTGTTTCATGTGTTAAAATTCTGGGAAATGCCACAATCTCACATATGACTGAGTTTGCAAAGTTCTAACAGTGTTCAGGAGCAACAACCCAACAACCAAATAACAATTAAATATTTGCTTACCAGACAGCGTGTTTGAAAACCTGTCAATCTCTTTAAAGTACACTTCATTGTACGACTCTGAAAAGCCACTAAAAGAAACCCAAGAATGCTTGCTGCAATGAAGAAAATCAATGACTATGACAAAGTTTGCATCATGAGCATGTGGGTTTGAAAGACAAATAACTTTTTGTTTAAGTGAGAAAAAAGGACTTGATTAACATTGCAAAAAGGAACTTATGTCTAAGTTATATGCTGATCACTAATCAATTGCAACAAAAATGAAAGCTTGAAAGTGATCAGCACCTATAGCAACCGTGAAGGGTGCTTTGACTGTTGCTATCAAAACTAGTGATGTTACAAAAAAAAAAACATTGTGAGCAATGACAGGACATAACATTAGATACTATTACTGATGCAGATTGTAAGTAGAGACTCGCCACAATAAATTACAGGAACATTCTGGAAAACTTTAACATCCACTTCAATCAATCAATCCATCCATACATCAAAAATATGGGCTTTTTACCTACCTGAGAGAAGGTATCCACCTGTACAACTCTTGAGTCATGCATGAGGTGTTTGTCATCTGTATCACATGACTTGATATTGAATTTGGATAGAAATGGGCTCCTGTACTATCCGTGAATTGTGTTATCCCATAGCTTATTTTGCAACCTTTGCACTCAAGAGTGATTTTCGATGCAGGAATAGGGCCTTGAAGGGTGAACAATTTGGCTTTCGAGCGTGGGTTGTGCATCGTGATGCCTTCCCCACAGTTTAGGCAAGATTTTGTTGGAGGTGACAAAAATTTGGTGTAACGGTATCCACCGTTTTCACATAGCTTCCAAAGTTTGTCGTGCGGTAGAACCTCGGGACTACAGAGGAATTCCGTACAATACTTTTCAAGGAAACTGACATACAGATGAACATTGGCGAGCGAATCAAGGGAACGAGAGCTACAACAGGCAGTGACAATGTTATGGATTAAAACAGTACGTAAAGGAAAGCCTTCAAATTCCCTGCAATGCATCGTGTACGTACATGGTACATGATTCATGGCCAACTTCAAGACTGACAGTCCATTCAAAGTGAGCTTGGCCGACAATATCGCGAGTGCTTCATCTTCCTTGAGGTTGTCCACTGCGTTGAGGTCAACTCTGCGAAGAAATTCCACATGACTATCTATATCGGCTTCTACCTTTTTTTGGCAGACAAATGAGATCTTATGGCCTCAGGAGAGAATAGATTGGCCTGATGCTTCTTCCGCTTTCGATTCTCCATTTCGTTGATCACTCCAGGAATGCCAAAACAATTCTGTCCCAATCCACCCATGCACATTCTAGTCCCCAGGGCCCCAAGGTCATCTTATAAGATCCTTCTGCTCGATGGCACAGTAGACAACCCATGTCCAGTCATTTAAATTACGTAATTAAAAGTCGCCTTTTTATCAACGCTTCATAGGTGGCAGTTTAGTAAGCTGGTAATCTACATCTATGTATTTATGATTTTATTAGCTGTTTAATTTTTAGTTATTGTGAACTTTAGGTAACCCTTTAGTGATGGAAGTAGTTCCTTAATACACTAGTACTGGTACTATTCCGATTTTTGGGGCTATATGTTCATCGGTTGTTCATACACTTAGTATGTAATCACGTTAGTACGTGCAGAATCTTCGGTTATGGCGGCACTTAGTACGCTAGTACTGGTACTATTCAGATTTTTGGGGCTATATGTTCATCGGTTGTTCGCACGCTTAGTACGTAATCACGTTAGTACGGGCACAATCTTTGGTTGTGGCTAGTACGCTGGTATTATAGTACGTGCAGAATCTTCGGTTATGGTGGCACTTAGTATGCTAGTACTGGTACTCTACCGAATTTTGCGGCTATATGTTCATCGGTTGTTCGTACGCTTAGTATGTAATCACGTTAGTACATGCACAATCTTCGGTTATGGCGGCCCTTAGTACGTTGGTATTATAGTGCGTGCAGACTCTTCGGTTATGGTGGCACTTAGTACGCTAGTACTGGTACTATACCAATTTTTGCGGCTATATGTTCATCAGTTGTTCGTACGCTTAGTACGTAATCACGTTAGTACATGCACAGTCTTCGGTCATGGTGGCCCTTAGTACGCTGGTATTATAGTACGTGCAGAATCTTCGGTTGTGGTGGCACTTAGTACGCTAGTACTGGTACTATTCCGATTTTTGTGGCTATATGTTCATCGGTTGTTC